GGTGGTTTCAAGTGTTTGACTTCTAATATATTCGCGATCGAAGGTGCGGCAGATAGGGCGTTGCGTAAGAGTTAGACCATAGAGATTGTGTTTTTTTAAGTATTTGAAATTTCTACATCTTGTCAGAGACATCAAGAAAATCATTCCAAATGTTCCTCTGGATGCCTTTTTCTGAGTATTTGTAAAACTCTATTTTACCCTGAGTTTCGCAAAATTCCACAACATCGCTCACTGTAGAGCAGTGATGGCGTTGAATCTCAAAAAGGTCGGCTTCTACCGCTGTGTAGTGCTGAAGATGGAGAGATATGTCATGATGGTAATAATGTGTTTTAGTAATGAGATTCTGTCATGATTTTTAATATAATCTTGGAAGGAAATCTCTTCACAGCCTTATGGAGGCTTTCACCGATAGATTGTAACTATATTTATTCTGAGTTTCCATACCAATTCTCGAACCATCGCGGTCCCTGGCAGACGTGGATGTAGCCGTGGACTCTAAATCCAGAGTTCGGCTTCTCGTAGCCCTGGCTGTGATGAGGTTGTTCCTGATAAAAGCATTATGGTCAGACGTGTTTGTAGATTGAAGAGTTATAGCTGGGTTTTCAGAATCAGAAATCTCTTCAAACACAGGTTGTTGTTGCCTCGATTTCCATATTTTGTAATCAATGAATCGAGTTTTCATAAATTGCTAGGAATCAGGTCCCTGTGCACAGTGGTGGAGGACAGGCGGTTGACTCAACTCCAAAGTGTCCGGTTCGAATCAAGTTGGGATGAGATTGTTCCTGTAAAGATATAGACCATGCGTAATTCAAAGTATTTGATTGCTCATTTAGTTTGTCAGAGCACATGAAGGAAATCTCTTCAAAACGCTCTGTGACTTTTTCCAGAACTCTATTTATCTTGAGTTTCCATAAATTCTTGAACTGTGTCCTGCAGTGGATAGCTCGTATCTTCTAATCCAAGGTCCCGGGTCTGAATCCAGAGGCGTTCTAAGATAGACCATGTATGATTTGTGTTTTTTGTATTTGAGATTCTGTAAACATTTGTCGAAATCTGCATGAAATCCTTCAAAAATGCTCTGTTGAAGTTTTCTCCGATTGTTGAACTCTATTTATTCTGAGTTTCATACATGAACTCGTAGTCCCTGTAGCGCAGTGATAGCGCTTGACTTAACCAAAGGTCCCGGTTCGAATCGCAGGGAGATGAGGTTCCGTAATATAGACCATGACTGGTAAATTGTGTTTTTTAGTATTTGAGATTCTGCACATTTTGTCGAGATAATCATGAAAACTCTTCACAAACGCTCTGGAGGTGACTTTCTCCGATAGTTGTAACTCTATTTATTCTGAGTTTCCATAAATTCAACAAACTCTAGTCCAGCTGCAGTGGCGCGTTGGACCCTCTTAATATGTCCGCGATCGAATCCGCAGGTTGATGATGTTCCAAGATATAGACCATGTATTGGTTGATTGTGTTTTTTTTAAATTTTACATTGTATGTCAGAGACAATCAAGGAAATCTTTCAAAAATGCTCTGTAGGTGCCTTTTCTCCATTAACTCTATTTATTCTGAGTTTCCAATTCGTCACCTGTCCCTGTAGAGCAGTGATAGTTGGTCTGAATACAAAGGTCTGGGCCGAATCCACAGTGTATGAGGTTGTTCCTAAAGATAAAGACTTGTGCATTAGGTAAAATCTGTGTTTTTTTGTATTTGAGATTCTGCATTGATTTTGTCGAGATAATCATGAAGGAAATCTCTTCACAAACGCTCTGGAGGTGACTTTCCTCCGATAGTTGTAACTCTATTTATTCTGAGTTTCCATAAATTCTACGAACTCGCGGTCCCTGTAGAGCAGTGGATAGCGCGTTGGACTTCTAATCCAAAGGTTCCGGCTTCGAATCCCGGCTGTGATGAGGTTGTTCCTAAGATAAAGACCATGTATTGGTAAATTGTGTTTTTTAGTATTTGAAATTCTACATTGAGTTTGTCAGAGACAATCATGAAGGAAATCTCTTCAAAAACGCTCTGTAGGTGCCTTTTCTCCGATTGTTGTAACTCTATTTATTCTGAGTTTCCATAAATTCAACAAACTCGTAGTCCCTGTACCGCAGTGGACAGCGCGTTGGACTTCTAATATATATGTCCCGCGATCGAATCCCGGCAGGGATGAGGGCGTTCCTAAGATATAGACCATGTATTGGTAGATTGTGTTTTTTAGTATTTGAAATTCTACATTGAGTTTGTCAGAGACAATCATCAAGGAAATCTCTTCAAAAACGCTCTGTTGGTGCCTATTCTCCGATTGTTGTAACTCTATTTATTCTGAGTTTCCATAAATTCTACGAAATCGTAGTCCCTGTAGCGCAGTGGATAGCGCGTTGGACTTCTAATCCAAAGGTCCCGGGTTCGAATCCCGGCAGGGATGAGAGTGTTCCTAAGATATAGACCACGTATTGGTAAATTGTGTTTTTTACTATTTCAAATTCTACATTGAGTTTGTCAGAGACAATCATCAAGGAAATCTCTGCACAAACGCTCTGGAGGTGCCTTTTCTTCGATTGTTGTAACTCTAGTTATTCTGAGTTTCCATAAATTCTACAATTGCGGAGTCCCTGTAGCGCCGTGGATATCGCGTTGGACTTCTAATCCAAAGGGCTCGGGTTCTAATCCCGGCTGGGATGAGGGTGTTTCTTAGATATAGACCATGTATTGGTTGATAGTGTATTTGAGATTTTCAGAGACAATCATCAAGGAAATCTTTGCTCAATCGCTCTGTAGGTGCCTTTTCTTCGATTGTTGTAACTCTATTTATATTGAATTTCCATAATTTCTACGAACTTGTGGTCCCTGTAGCGCAGTGGATAACGCGTTGGACTTCTAATCCAAAGGGCTCGAGTTCGAATCCCGGCAGGGTTGAGGGTGTTCCTAAGATATACGGATGGGGAATATGGTGTGTGCCTGCATTGGCGTTACACCGGCCAAAGATCTTCAATAAATTTTGAATTTTGGTAGAGGCCCGACTTGTGCCAGGGGACTCTAAAAAAATGTGCTGGGTGCTTAGCTGCCTAGTGCTGCTGCTGAAAAAGAAGTCATTTTAATAACATACCTAGAAAAAAAACTATTTAGTAAAAAATAAAAAAAAAGCCGAGAAAAAAGGGAAGGGTGATGGAGTGGTCTGTGTGCCGTAAGCCGCAAAACCTTAACTAACCGAAAGATCTAAAGTCACTCACCTCCTCATTACAATACCTGGCCCATACAAAAGGCTCTGTGGTGGCGACATGGTGATACAGTGTGAGGTTACAAACTATTTCCCGACAAAGCTGAGTAATGAAAGAATTTAAAGGAAAAATAAAAAAGAATACATGATGATACTTTACAGGAGACATTACAAAGAGTGAGGAAAATAAAATGCAAAAGTCCAGTGGGTACATGAGCTTCTATAGCAAGCACTCAAAGATGAAGGTGATGAAGGGATGACTATGATATGTACAATGAGTATGGAAAGGGCCTGAAAGTCTCTGGAGGAGCTACCTAGTGTTCATGGGCTGCCTCCTTGCGAGCCAAGATAGAATTGAATGAGGATGTTGCTTCCTCTTTAAAGGAACTCCTGCCTAAAATCGATGATATCAAGTCTAACAGTGTTGTAGCAATTAGAGAAGAACTCCCTACCATCATTAAACAGATAGCTTGTGAGGATCTTAGTAATTCGGTGAAAACCGCGAATTTGGAACTAGTTGAACAGGTCAAAATAAACTGCGATGAGACTAGAAGCTTTGCTCAGGTGGCCCTCCAGGCTAAAACTCTCCCCCCTGGGGTTTCACCGTCCTTTCGGCCCCCTTCTTCGAAGCCCGAAGGGGTATTGCTGATTAAGCCAAAGGACGATACTGCGAGAAATCACGAATTTAATTGGAAATTATTTGTGGAGATTCTTCAGAACAACAACCCAGAAGTACGTTTAAGAGGCATAGGGAAAATTTATGGAGGGGGTATTAAGTTGATAGCCGCCTCGCTTGATGAGATACAGGCAATTAAAGAAGTTTTTATGGAGAAGTGTGACAAAGAGGTGTTAGAAAAATACGATTTTGTTGTTCCAAACCGGAAGCCACCGCATATAATTTTATATAACGTTGATAAAGACGTAGATCAAAATGCTTTAAAGAATGGTCTGTTATCCAAGAACATAACACTAGCTGATGGGAACAACAAGCCCCACTTCCAAGTCGACTTTAGTATCCCTGCCCGAAACAGCAAATATAACCACTGGGTCCTCTCGGTGAATCCGAAAAAGTATAACGAATTCATAGCTAAGGAGGGATTTTACTTTCAGTTTAATCGTTTGAGATTGAAAGAATTTGTGTCCCCACGACAATGCCGCAAGTGCTTTGCGTTCGGACACACCACTAAGAATTGCGACCCGAAATCAGAACAAAGGTGTGACAGATGTGGAGATGTACGAGGCAAGAAACACCGCTGCAGGGGGCCATATTGCATTAATTGTGCAGAGTCCAACAAAAAATTTCGAACTAACTATAGAACTGAACACAGTTGTTTGGACCCGAACTGCAAATCCTTAAATAAACAAAAAGATCTAATTAGGCAGAGGACCGACTATGGAAATTAAGAATATTCGGGGTGTTCAGATTAATGTAAATCATTGCATGGCGGCTCACTCGGGGGCCTTCTTGATCGCTCGGGATCTCCAACTTGATTTCATCGCAATCCAGGATCCTTATCTTTGCAAAGGGGAACCCCCAACGTCCGACTTCGGTGGAAACATTTTTTCATCTCAGAGTAAAAATGCATTATTATATGTTTTTAATAAAGATTTTAACTGTTATTTTAAGTTCAACACCACAAATACTGTGTGTGTTGAACTGCATTTTAATAATTTAATATTAAATATTTTTAATTGTTATTTTCCTCCCCACAATGATATTGACGATTTGCTGGATGAGTTTACTGATTTTAATTTTCATAACAGTTTTAACCTTCTTGTGGGGGACTTTAATTGTAAGGCCAGGAGTTGGGGCTATGACTCCGACAACGACAGAGGACGAAAAATGTCGGAGTTCATGGCCTCCAATAATTTACATTTAGCCAATATACCGGAGTACGGACCTACTTTCATATCTTCTATTAATGTGGGGTTTCCCGATTTGACCCTTATTAGTACCTCTATTTTTAATTATATAAAAAATTGGGGGATCCTGGATATGGAGTCCCACAGCGATCACAAGTATATTTATTTTAACATCGAAATTGAAGAATTGCCAGAAGCTGATTTCTTTTTTAAATCTAAACATGGGCAGAACAAATTCATTAACTTTATGAAGAAGCACCTGAATCTGTTAAAAAGGAAACTAAAGAACGTTACTAATATTTTATATCTCAATAGTTTTATACAGGACCTAATTGATTTAGTTAAGAAAGGTGCATTTAAAACCTTTAAAAAGAAGCCAAAAAGGTCTGCCCATAGATTCAGCTTCTGGAACGAGGGCCTCCGACGACTACGAAACAAAGTGAGCAAAATGTTTAAGATCTATATGCGAAATAAATCGAACAATTGCAATGTTGACATGGTCCAGAAGTCCGGGTGCGAGTACCGTAAAGCCAGGGCCGAGTACAAGAAACTTTTGCTGCATACAAAGAGAAAGGCCTGGGAAACCTATTGCATAAATTATAACGAAAGATTTGGTTCCCTATTCAAACTGGTTTTCAATAAATTTAGAAACAATAGTATAATTGGAGTCAATCCTAACAATAATCCAAATAACTCCATAAAAGATAAAATTTCTTTTATCATGGACAGTTTTTTCCCGGGCCAATCTCCAGGGGAGGAACTTATTTACTCCCCTATACTCGGCCCTATTGAACCTCTCAACTTATCTGACTTAGAAATAATCTTCAATGGTCTCAAAGGTGGTAAAGCACCCGGCCTGGACAGGATCGACTATAGAATGTGGAGGGCGGTTTTCGAAACTGACAAAACTTTTATGCTTGATGTTTTTAACCTGTGCTTCCATTTTAACTATTTTCCGAAATGTCTTAGAAATGCCAGGATCTTTTTCTTGTTAAAAAGTGGCAAGGATCCTGGCATATGTTCTTCGTACCGGCCGGTTTGCCTCCTTCCAACTCTGGGCAAAATTGTCGAACGGCTCTTTTTACTTAAATTAAATAGATGGCTGGATCAGAATAACATCATTCATGACAATCAGTACGGCTTCTTGGAGGGCAGAAGCTGTGATCTGGCCATCTCAAAAATAGTGGAGACCATTAAAAACAGAATACCTAATGAACATCTTACCCTCGTCTCCCTGGACATAAAATCGGCCTTCGACAATATGAACTGGCCGGTACTTTTTAACATGTTTAATGATTTTAATCTACCATTATTTTATAAAAATTTTATATATTATTATTTGAAAGACCGTCATGTATATTATGTTAACGAGGTATTTGAAACATCAAGACAATATTACAGAAGCTGTCCCCAGGGTTCAGTGATAGCACCTATAATTTGGAATATTTATATCAACGCTGTTTTAAAACTTAATGATGGAGAGCTCTACGTTCAGGCATTTGCCGACGACCTGGCACTCATCATAGGGGGTCGCACGGCCAGAGTTCTTGAGGCTAACACCAACCTCGCTCTGACCAATATTGCAAGATCTTTAGACTCCCTTAAACTCAATCTTTCTGTTAAAAAGTGCCAGGCCGTGGTGTATCGTAGTATCGCATCGCAAAAGCTCTCCAAGCGAAACTCTACTATCCTGAACCGTAAACCAACTTTTAAGATTTATAACACATCTATTAGAGTCACCGATAGCTTAACGATACTAGGAATCGTCATAGACAATAAACTTACCTGGTCCGAACATATCAATTCATTACATGGCAAGATGCTGATTTTAACTTCCAATTTTAATCGGATTTTAAAAACTGACTGGAGTGTCAATAAGAACCTCATTAAAACGTGGTATCTCACAACCATTGAGAAGGCCCTGCTGTATGGAGCCAGTGTATGGGGCGGGGCCTTAACAAAAACTCAAATAAAATGTTTGCACTCCATTCAGAGGATATTTCTTTTAAAATTATCGCGGGGCTACCGTACCACATCAACCAACGTTCTAAACATTCTTACTGGCCTGCCCCCCCCCCCTTCACATCACAGCTGAAGCAGAATTTATTAAATTTCAGATCTGGGTGCGGCGCTCTGCTCAATATAATAATATAATCGATAATGTTCACCTGGATTTTAATATTCCAGTCAAAAACATCCCCTCAGCTGAAAAATACATATCTCCACCCCTCCAGATTCAAAATGCAGATTTTGAGGTGTACACGGACGGATCCAGGGTGGAAGATGAAACTGGGTTCGCCGTGTGCATCCTCCAAAACAATAGCAATATACAAAACTTTCTATACAAACTCAAATCTTTTAATTCAGTGTTTCAAGCCGAGCTGGCGGCCATTCAACATGAAGCGAATTGGGCCGCCAGCAATAATTTTAAAATCAATATTCACTCTGATAGCTTGTCATCAATAATGGCTTTGAAGAGCGCCAGCTCCAGATCTAAATTCGTCAATACAGTTAAAAAAGATCTCCATGCAGCAAATAATCAGGTCGGCCTCTCGTGGGTAAAGGCCCACGTTGGTATTGAAGGCAACGAGTTGGCCGACCAGTTCGCAAAACAAGCCATATCTACAGGAGAGGAGCTGGATATTCCAGCTCCTCGTTCATTTTTAAATCGCAAACTGAAAACTCACATTTTAAATTCTTGGAACATTTACTGGAACCAATATGACTCGGCCTCGGGGGTTAGGGTCAGATCATTTATTAGTACGGTTAGCCCCAAGTTTTTAATTCACAACAAAATTTTAATCTATTTTCTAAGTGGACATGGCCCTTTTCCTCAATATCTTCATCGCTTTAAAAGAATTGGGTTACCACTTTGCGTCTGCGGGCTGGTGGGCGATGCAGATCATTATACCTTTGACTGCTCGCTCACCAAGGAGTTTCATTTATTGAAGCCTGCGGACGCTCATAAAATAACCTGGTTCAAAAATCTCATCAACAATATTCAGGCTATCGGGAAAATGGCACAATCTTTCAGGATAAGTAACGAGTTGTGCGATTCACTGACCCGCGATGGGGACTAATTTATTAAGTATTTTACTATGGTTTTTAGCCTAAAATTTTTAACTGTTATCTTTTAATGTGTTATGTGTTATTTACTTTTACATTATACTTTTTGGACCGATATTCACTTTGATATTGCTTTTGGTTTGCCTTATTGGCAATGGGTCTGTTTACCCTTTTAGGGGGTGCGGCGAGGAGGAGTGGGTGAAGTACGTCGGGAGTGTATTCTCCTGGTAGGGCCACCCAAGGCGTGAAGGCCACTCCGTATTCCTCGTTGGCACTTCAGTCCACTAAGCTTAGGCTCAAATGGTTTTATTGTGTATGTACTATATGGATTGTTGTAACTTTATTTATTATATTTTTATACATGCTGAAAACTTGTAATATTCTATATTTTTATTATCATATTTCATCTTGTAAATACTTCATCATATTTTTAACTTACTTTTTATAATATATTTTTAATATACTTTTTAAGTGTTTCTGCCGCTCTCTTATGTCGGTCCTTTTAATACACCCCTCTTACGGTCGTTTCTTGCATGGCGAAGGTTTGCAGGGTTCAGTGGTCTGCGTTCCTATATATCTTTAATGGTCGCTTTTATATATCGAGAGATCTGTTGGGCTCTTAAGGGTAACTTCTTTGCCCCCTGTCGGCGCTTGAGTGTCACAGTCTTTGATCTCTTGGTGGTGTGTCCCCCGAGAGGACTCTGGGTGTTTGGGTTTTATCTGGAATCTATTTTAGCTAATTATTTTAATGTTTTTTTTAATTGGTATCTTTAAATTTTTATCTCACTTTGCTGACTGAGGGGTAATTCCACGTTTAGTAAATTTTAGTTTTATTATCAAATCTGTACTAAGTGCATATTGATTTGACACTCTTTTCTGCGTCTGGTGTGCTTGTGTGTGTGTTGTGTCGTTGTTTGTGATGTCCTTCTTCTTTTTTAGGTCTTTCATCCATGTGTTCAGATTCATTGGATTTTAATTTCATACTTTTGTGTATAGAGATGAGCTTATCATTTTTAGCTAAAACTTTTACTTATCACATATCCCGGTTTTGTGTTACACGCATTGTAGTTGCTTTCCAATGTATTACATTTGCTTTCCAATGAATTGTATTTGCCTTCCAATATCGCCCTTGGGCGCAGAACTATGTCTTGGCATTGTAACCCAGCCACATTGATTACCGCCCTTGGGCGTAGTCTGTGCGCATAGTGTTCACACCTTTATGTCTGTAAAAACATTTTATGTAATTAATTTACTGCTCCTGTTTTTGAGCAGTGTTTGTATTCATTTTTGGAAATTTAATAAATCTGCCCGTTGGGCCGGGGCCCGCTGTACCTCAGCGTGCTTTGGGGTGCCCTCTTCCCCGGCGACCCTTCTTTGCTTTAAACCATTTTTGGTAGGCGGGGAGGTCGCGGGCATTCATGTTCATGGGCATTAGGAAATGTCATCTGGATCCTGTTCAAAGATATCCTGTTGATGAAGAAACAGGAAGGAGAGGAGGGACTTCACTTCTTTTGTCCTGTGCATGTCCTGCAGGATCTGAAGGACGGATTGACCGGGACGAATGAGGGACCTTTGGCTGTCGAGGAGGGGGCACCTGAAGATGTAATGCAGGATGTCGTCATCAAAAAGAAGACATCCTAAGATATAGACCACGTATTGCTAAATTGTGTTTTTTTAATATTTAAGATTCTAAATTGAGTTTGTCAGAGACAATCATCAAGGAAATCTCTTCACAAACGCTCAGGAGGTGCCTCTTCTCCGATTGTTGTAACTCTATTTATTCTGAGTTTTCATCAATTCTACGAACTCGTAGTCCCACTAGCGCAGTGCATAGCGCGTTGGACTTCTAATCCAAAGGTTCCGGCTTCGAATCCCGGC